CTCCCGCTCCGCGGGAGAAAAATCCCGCTGAAAAAAAACCGTCGGGTGGGAGAAGATTAGAGCATAAAACTGTGTAAACGGTTTTCCCAACATTTCTAAGCGTCACAAATAACAATAGGTGAAATACAGCGTATTTAATTATAATGAAACCGAACGTATAATATTAATGAACTGCAGTCTTTACGTACCAGAGGCCCGATAATCCAAGAGATCAACCCCTGATCGCCTCTTTAATCTCAAATTACAATTCCGAAACCCTTGCGTCCTTTAGACAGAAGGCTTCCCGATTGGCCCTATGTATTAATGGCTGATTGAAATGTTGGTCCCGATTCTGGCCTCAGTGTTCGGCAATATTTACAAGCCACATGTTTGATAGTAACTGCGACAGTTTTCAACAAATCCTACTTCAAACGCAGAGGTCCGATGCAGAGGTTCGACAATGAATATAATCAGGCTACTAAGTGCATGTACACCGGTCTGGCTGAAGGTTTGGCAACGTTGCGGGCGTCAGTGACTGACGAGGTTCTATAAACAATTTTAGCTATTCTGCGGAAAGTTAAATATAGTTATCCGGTGAGAAACGGCAGAAGTACAAGAGTTGATTTTGATTGAGACAGGCAGTAGGTTTTACGGCAGCGAATTATTTCGTCAAAGATCAAAGCCGTCTGCAAGTGGGAATCGTCTCTCAAGTAAAACGTCGTTAAGTATAGAATTGATCTATCACTTAATTTTTGTGCTGTTTAATATACACTTTATGGAAAAACATTCCATATTGTAATTTTTACGGTTTTTGTGACCTGGGGCGGTCCCCGCCAGCACACGCCCAAAACTGGGCGGGGGTGTCGACGGGGATATGGTTAAGGTATATGTATTATTGCACAACCCGAAATTTCCAGAATGCTGTAGACGGACCTAAAAGGCAATATAACTCATTTTTTGACTATATTTGACTTAAAGTGCGTTCTAGGCGACATAAATCTACTCTGATATATAGTAAGAATCTGATCAAAGGGAACTAAAATTGTCATTCTGAGGCCAGATATAAATCACCTAAAAACACTGAAGTGTACCTTAGTTTTGCTTATCCCCCAGCCTACCAAAACAGGATGATAAAACTCCGCATGAACTTCCTTCAAGCCGCCTGAAAAACCACCCACCAGTTAACTTGCCAGCTAGTCCAGTAGAATAGGCTAAGTGCTTGCTGAAATAAGGTCCAATCCATTTAATATTTTTAGCAGCATCAGAACAAACTACAAACACTGTCCAGTTCGCCGAATGGCCTGTATCTAGGCTGTGGCCGCCGGGCACCTTTGCTGGATGGAAGTATCAGTCACCTAATGGTGAAAAATGTGCCCTTATTTGGAACAACGTCCATTTTCTTTACGCGTCATTCAAGCAGTAAGGGAGAGCCATGCACTGAAAGGGTATTATATCAGCAGGGGAGGACTATACAATTTGAAATATTGGAACGCTGCACAGGTACCTAGGTCATATACTGTCTAATGTTTCTTAACGAACTTAACTGACCATTTGCCAGTGCACTGTTGCCCGTTACGATAGAGCTCGCTCGTCTCCCGGACCGAGTTGATGACACCGGATGTAAAACGGAACAGAAGAAAAGGATGCAACCACTGGAAAAAGAAATTAATTTTCCTGACGTTTCGGATTCCGGGGGGGGGAGTTCTCAATCATAGGTAAAGTAGATTAGTCTATGTCATGCGTAGATAAGGGTGAAACATGCACAGGTTTTGCGCTTGTTATAGTTTTTAGCGGTAATCCGCGCTCATACTAGAATTATCCACACCTGTGGCCACCGCTTGGGTCTTAATTGGTGCCATGATGGCTTGACGCTTCGGGTTCGACTTATTAATTGCCGTGATTTCCTTGCCCGTGTAAAATGCGGGCTGGGTAATTGCGCGACATTTATGCTCGTTGTCGTCAGAGTTGTTTCTGGACCCAACCCTTTTCACGTGACTGATTCTCTTGCCAAGGCAATGTCTCACTACACAGAATGGAAAACTCCACATCGTTGCGGTTGTTGATGGACTGGGGGCCTGTGAACCATGCCTCGAGCAGCTCGTGGCTCATGCGCTCGTCACCTCTTGTGAGGATTTCGGTCTCTTCAAACGTGAAAATATGGACGGGTCTCGTCGATTGATCTGCGACCCTTGAGTTGGCGTCTTTCTTTCTCACCACCACCACATGCTCGGTTATTCGCGTCTGGAGATATCTCCGGGTTTATCCGACATCGTTGCATTGTCCGGATCCGCTAAACAACTCCAGCCGTTTCCTGCCGTGACAGTTGGTCTTTCGATCTCATGGCCTGGCGACTGATGGTTGCTTCTGGCCTGTGCGTAAATCCATCTCCAATTGGGGTGAGCAGACGACTGACGGCTTCCGATACATTCTTCACGTACGGAGGAGCTCGCAAAATGTTTGTGGCTTCTTCTATCGTTTGCATGTGCATTGGTTGACCACATTTCAAGGGTACCGATTCGCACTCCACACCCGTCGACGATGTTGTAATTCATCATTTTTGTCGTCCAATTCACTCCGATGCATCTTAAAGCGTAGGTATAACGCTCTTACGCAGCCGTGTTTGTGATTTATTGGGTGGTTGCCGTCATGGTTCAGGACTTGCATAGTGCTGGTTGCTTCCCTGAACACATAATATTTAAGCCACCACCATCTTTGTGGCAAACGAGTACATCCAGGAAGGCCAGCTGGTTGTTTTCTTCTTCCTCCATCGTAAATGAAATTTCCAAGAGAACGGCATTTAGACATTCCCCGAATGACGAAAGTGTCGTCCACATACCGAGCCCAGAATTTCGGTCTATGGTGTCGAAAACTAGCGAATCCAACCGCTGCATGACCGCCTCTGCTATGAGTCCGGAAATGAGCGAACCCATGGCCGTGCTCCTCACCTGCTCGTGCATAGTTCCGTTGAAGGTAAAGTACGTCTTGAGACAGAGCTTTAGGAGCTGGAGGATTTGTGCGTGCCCCTTTTTATTGTATTTCTCTCGTCAGAGTAATTGGATAATCTCGATTGCCAGGTCCTCTGGGAAAGAATTAAAAAGGGTATGTGACAGCAAAAGAAACCATGATATCGTTTGGCAGGATGCTTACCCCTTTAAGTTTTTCCAAGAATTGCGTTGACGACCAGATGGTTGTGTATGAATCATCGGTCAGCCGTCGGAACAGCTACTTTGCCAGTCCGTTGGTTTGATTTCCTCTGATTGATGCGATTGCCGGAGGGTTTCGCCCCCATTGGGCATCTTGGGAAGACCATGGAAGCGTGCCAGTGCCGTTTCTTGTGCTTTCGGCTTGCGTCGGTCGATTGGCGATATTGCAACTGAGTTATCCATTGCCAACAACGTTGTGTTGAGCTTACGTGTCAGCGTTTTATGGGGCTGGATTATCATGGGACTAAGGACTGTCTAGGAACGTTTGAGCTTTCTGAATGTAGTCTGTCATGTCAAAGATGACGGTAGGCCGCTCCTTTTCCGTCGGTACGATAACGAGCTCACTGTCGGCTCTGAGTTCTCTAAGTGCCTTACGTTTGCTCTTGGCCAGAGCGTCGCGTGGCCGATGTGCCATGAGGAGGGATGACACCTGGTGGCAAATAGCGTTTTTCATTTCGTCCGTCACTTCTATTTTTTTGAGACTTTATTCTACTGAAGTAACCATTTATAGTCGGAACGTCAGAAGGAAAAAGGTTCTGTGGAAAATATATCCCATATCTCAGCCACCCGACCATTTCCCCAATCCTACGGACCGGCAAATTTTGTGTCGAAGCTTTCTACGGAAGGAATCATCCGGCTTTGAATCAGGTGTTCGAATGAATGAAAACGTTCGCGTTCTAGCTACTTGCGTGGATGAGGAAGAAGACTTGTCGAGCCCCGGGTCAATTTGTTTATTTTTTTGACCTTTCGAACTCTTGCAGGAGTCCGTCGTCAGAGGCAGAGAACAGCAACAAATAGAAAGGTAATAATGCTGGGTGTCAGTGGGTCGTCAGGTCGTAAGAAATTAACACACAGTGATGAAAAAGCAGAGGAGAAAACAATTGTAGGGGCATTCGTTAATAGGCTGTAAGTGATGCCAACTTTCATCAGGGCGCTCATTGCGCTCATTTTAGAGGATGTGGGCCAATTAACTGTGATGGACGTCTGGACGTGGCTGCACCTGACTGTGCAAGGCTCTGTACGCAAGCGCTAACTCGACATTTGGTTGATTGAATACTGCTTCTAAAAATAACGCTTCGATCAAGCCCCGGGTCACCTTGTTTCCGGCGTGGGCGAGTACCCTGATGGCCGCACCATTAAACTCATGACCTTTCTCATATATAAGAGCTGCAACTTAAAATACTTCGACACCTAGTCGTAACGAACGTTTATGTTCATGTATGCACGGTCCAAGCATGCGTTGCGGTTGCCACGTACAGTAACAAAAACAGCTTAAGCACGCTATGCGATCCACTACCATAGATCTTTCATTGAGCGTAAGCCGGTCTTTTTTTTCATTATCCCGCTGCGCACCGTTGCTGTGAGCCTGTGTGAAATTCCGACGCCTAATCCGCAGCGATGCGCTCGATAGCTTCTGAGACGTCTTTGCAGCATAGCAGGATGTGCCATAGTCTCGATGGCTCTTGTTATTGTGTCCCTCGGTGCCGAAAGTGTGGGCACCGGCCTTTAGTTCCTCCTGACGATCATTCCGCATGAATTTGTCGCGGAAACATCGGGCGCCGCACACCTTTTCCTCCGGCCTACTGCACGGAGTCTGAATCTGTTTAAAGAGCGTTTATAGCCAGTGAAAACTGAAAAGCTCCGTTGCGTTCGTTAACTTCCTGTAAATAAAAGTTTCCATTTCACCGTTGGGCGTTCTCTTGACGAGGACATCAACGGCTGCTGATCTTGTCCTTCTTTCTTCTAGAATATTATGTCAGGAGGGATTCCGTTTAGCAAGTAATGGAGTTTTGCAAAACATTCTTCTTGATAATAACAAACGGGTCGGCTTATGTTGGGTGAAAGCGGTGTTTTTTAACTTTTGTTGGACCAGTTCTCCCACAAGGCTGGAGATCGGGGATCCTAGTGAAATTTCTTTGGTCTGTGTGTAGGTTTCTCCAGCAAGGGTAATGTACGTATTTTGGCGACATTCAATAACCTCATGATGTGTTCAACCTTTATTGGGCTTCATTTCTCAGCATATGCGTCTTCATGTCTCTTGCGCAAGGCTTCCTGTACCAGGTTTTGGGAAAAGGACGTGAATAAAGTAGTCATATGAAAGGAGACCATGATTTTGTCCGAATGAACCGTCAAACCTCGAAGGTTTTCGAGGAACGAGCGACCTATTGAACTGAGGTTGTCGAAATGCCTTGGAGGAATGTCAGTTTGTGAACATCCACTTTACCAAACTATAAGTAGGGTTGCTTTTAAGGACAGACGCAAACCTAGTTGAATTAAAAGCAGCACTATGCAGCGATACTAGTGCGAAGTTAAGCAACCGACGAGAAGGTGTGACCTCCTTGCTGATGGCCCACAAACCAACCCGATGCATTTCGCGGAGTGAGTCAAATGCCATACAGGAAATGAGGAAAGACGACGGTATAATCAGCCTGCCGACAGTTGTGATGAATCGACAGGACTACAGTGGGACAGCTAAGACTCTTCTTGATGACAGATGATCTTACAGACCAGTAGTGCATTCACAAGTTAAATCAGTATCCGGCCGACTGACTAAATTACTCAGAGAATACCGGTGCAGGAATGTGCTCTCAGTAAACGTGTGGCGCCAGATGAAAGGAACAGATACCGTTTTGGCTCGTTTGTGTGATCTACCAAAAATTCACAAACTAAATGTCCAACTGCTGCAGGTTATTCCACGGGTCCAGGACCCGGTTCGAGAAGAAGCTTCTTCACGTCCAATCGTCCTTGGGTCGCATAGAGTTTGAGTGGATGTCCCCGTCGTTTAGTTGTAGTGGCGATTTGGAATAAGTCCTTATACTCGAGAGCGCTGTCCAACCCACGCACGATACGGAAGGTTGGTACAAATCTACGCGTTACTGCCTATAACTCAAAGGATAGAGATTAAGGTTATTTAGGCGAACCTCATATGGTAGTGCACCTTGGCCTCTTGCTAATTTTGTGGCCCACCGCTGCACCCTTTCAAGTACGTTATAATACAGACGCATCCACGGTTTCCAGGCTTGAATTGCGTATTCAAGATGTAGCCATATGAAGGTACCGCAGATTTTTGAAAAACTGTTTTAATCAAAAATGTGAATGCCCGCATGATGGCGTACACTACTGAAGTTGCAGTTTTAGCCACCTTACAACATTGTGTAAAAGGTTTGATTTTGTCTGTCATCCATATGCCGAGATCTTTCTGTATTTCCACTTCTTTTAGTGGGATTCCGTTCAGACGGTAGGGTCGCGCATCAGGCATCAGATTTCGACTTCCCAGGCT